GAAAATCTATTATTATGCATTTAGATAAATATATATATGAAGAGACCTTGGAAATATTATGCTAATACTTCACTAAAACATGTAATTTGATATTTTTATTCATAGTAAATACATTTAACATTTTAATTAACATACACATTAATTTTATTTTAATAAATATACATATTTTTGTGAACTAATGTACCATATTTTTCATAAATTATAAAATATTACTTAAATAAGAACATGTTTTATTTATACTTATGAACACAATATTTTTTAATGATCAGGCTTCTTCATTACTATATATTATATAAAAAATAAGATAAAATTAAATTTATTGATTTTCAAAGCACTTGTTTTTTAATATTATTTCCTTTATAAGAATTTTAATACTTATATGGATTCAAAAGAAATATCCTTCCTACATATACAAATTCATATTACCTATACGTATATAAAATAAGTTAGACAGTAATTCACTTTACATATATAAATATATATTATGCACAATATTAAAATATATTAGAATAGTATTATTGTTCGTGTATATATTGTTATTCATGAAATGTTCTTTTTAAATTTTTCATTTGATAAAAGTGCTTTTGATTTATTTATATGTAAAACGATATATCTTATGAATGCATAGAATAAAAACATCAGTGATAATAAATAAAAAACGTGAACAATATTTAATAAAATATATAAATAACAAATGATAAAATGAATGTTATATTCATTGCTTAACATACATTCAGAATCATAAATATTTGATGGAGTTATATTTGCATATTATATAATTCATTTTTATTCATTTCATTGAACAAAATATAATTTTTCTTATTTACCCATATCTATAACCTTAAAAATTTGTTCTTATTTTCATATTACACTTGCTCATATAGTTATATGTTTCATAGATAAATATTTTGCAGGTATGTTAATAATCAGAATAGGTTTTTATGTAAAAATATTTTTTATTATAATAAAATAGATGTTATAGATGATATTTTATATATATTATTAGTCATATATTCAGCATGCTATAATGTAATAATAATTCTAAGCAAAATGTTGTGTAATGAAATATAATTAGTGAAATTCACATATATTATTATTAAAATATATCTATATAAATGTTTAAAACGAATTTTAAAAAAAAATATAAGTTATATGTGTCATATAAATGAGATGCCTTTTATAAAGAAAAATTATATTCTCAAAAACTAGAAAATATAAAAAAAGGTAAATTTATTAAATGTATCCATTCTATGTTTATTCATTCTTCATGAACGAATTAATTATATTACTAACATTATCTATTGTTATTTTCAATTGAAGCATTATTATATTAATTTCTTTGATAAAACTAACATCTTTTTTGTATTGTGAACATAATTTCAACATCATAAGAAAATTTAAATAGAAATAATTTTAAAAGCATTTATTTTCTACTTTTGGTATAGTAATTAAATGAAATATATTCTTGTATTTATATATTTATTGGTATGAAAAAGCAGAATTATATAACACATTATATCTATTATTCTATGAATTATTTCTATATGTCTTATATGAATTCATATCGAGTGAATTATATTATTATATGACTAGATTAATATAGAATATATACTTATATGTGCGGTACTTTGCGTGAATTCATTCTATCAAGTGATCAATATGAGGATATAACATTTTTATACATAATATATATATTATGAATTTTAAAAAATTATAAAAATAAATCTTGATCAAATTCACTAATACCATAAATAATAAAATTGGGAGTTTCAATATAAGGAGATATATATAATGTATAAAATTTAATATACAGTACATATATTAACATATGTATTAAAAATCTATTAATTATTTTAAAAAGAAGACAATAAGCTAAACATTTATGTTTTGGATTTTAGTAGCATATATTTTTTTATATAATAAATATAAATAAGTCCAATTTTCTTTATGATTATTATTTTTTTTACGCTGTTATAATTTTTATAAACATACTAATCTGTATAGCATAGTTTTTAATATACTATGATATATAATTATAAAATCATATATATACGAATGTGTTTATACATATTACTATTTTCAGAATTTATTTAATGGTTTATACTATAATTATAGATAAAATAAATGATTTAATTTTACTCTTGACATAATATATGTTTATGTTTTATATAATATAGTGATTATATTTCAATATTGAAGAAAAAATATGTTAGAATTCTTCTAAATTTGTTCTTGTTAAATCATATTTTATTAACAACAGCTGTTATAAAATAAATACAAGTTATTGTATATCTGTCATGATAAATATTATATTGTTATATATAATATATCTACTTTATAATTATACATTTGTGTCGATACACAAAACTCTATAAGTAAATATTGATTATGTTATTATAATATCTCCTTATTCATCGTGCACATGTATTAAAACTTTTTTATAATAGTTATTCTTCGTCTCTAATGAATCTATTACAATAAATATTTATATATACTATAGTAAATTTTATCTTATATATCATAAAATCAGATACTCTTTCCTTTTGAGCACATAAACAATGTATTTGGAATAAAAGCGTTTTGTGATTAAATATATAATTTTTTTAGTGAAAAATATCAGTATTTTAAATCATTATATCATTGTTATAAAAACTGTAAATCTCTTATTACTTATTATATTCTATAGATCAGCATTAAAAAAATAACATAGATTTAATAATACATAACATAAATACAACATTTATAAAAGAAAACATATATATGTATTATTATTTCTAAAAAATGTGTAGAAAAAAAAAGTAATGTTTGCAAAAATTTTTCTTCATATAATCTTTTTATTTATTTAAATGCTGTGCATCAGACTTTTTAATATTTTTTTACTTTTTCTAATTATTAGTAGTTTAACATATTTATAACTTGTATTGTATAGTGCATTGTACTATATATATGTATTATATGATTAAATATAACGATAGTATAAGATATTTTTTTTTTATATGATTACATAACACCAGAAAAAAAAATAATACATTTTATTACATTAATATATACTTAAGTTATAATAAAATATATTGATACAAATCTATAAAAATAACATATTCCAATCACATGGGTTATAAAGTTATTATATTATTCTTCAAGGTACCCTTAATATTAAAAATCTGAAAAAATATTAAAACATATAAAGAAATTAAAAAGTCTTATAATAAATCAAATATATTGTAATATCTGTAACACAATATAAAGTATTTCATCAATAAATATTCATAATGAATTATTATTATAACTATATATCAAAAAAATGTTTTTACCATATACCCAATAAAAATCAGATAATATAGTTCAATGTTATAAAGTGAAATGATATTCACTCAGGAATTATTTTATTCATAAATTTCGGAGAAATTCTATATTATAATACTAAGAATTAAAAATTACAGTAAATATTATATTAACACGTAATTAATATATCTGTGTGTTCTATTATATGTCATAAAAAAACATTTATTTGATAGGATACATTGTATAATGTTTACAAATAATAATGCTATTAATCTCTCCATTCATATTAATGACATAAAGACAAAATTATACATTGTATATAAAGGATTAATATTTATAAGTACTGACAAATAACAATAATAAGACATTTCTATTTAGTTGTGATATTATAAAAAAATTATATGTTAAAAGAAAAATGAAGCCTCTGATATTTTTTTAATTTTTTTATTTATCCAACCGTTGGTTTACTACAAAAAAATGAAATAATTTTATAGTTTTATATTTTACATTACCTTTATTATATATAAAATTAATTTATAAATTTTTTTATAGCTGTTGTCTTGTATTTGCAATATTTATCTAATTAAGCATATTTTATATGTAATAAATAATTTGATAGTTTTAGAAGTAATGTAAAGTATATAAAATTAATAAATAGAAAAATTATTTATATTTTATAAAATAGCAAATATCGTTCTTTCATTAAACACATATAGGAAAATTAATTATGTCAGTATAAAAAGTATACATAAATAATTTTTCTTTTCTTTAATTCAAAGACGTACAAAGACAACATATCTTATTTACAATTTTTCATACAAATTATATATTCCTTATAATATTTTAAGTTATATTATTTTTTTAAAAATTATAGATTATTATATGTGTATAAATAAGATGTACTTATTATGTATTTTAAATAATATTTATATTAAAAAAGTAATCTTTTTTTATTAATTATATTCTATAATGTACATGCAAAACATGTATGGTTTCAATATTGTAATTATTAATATAATATATTTAAAACTGTAAAATGTATAATGAAAATGATAATAAATAATTATTGAATTATTATTTATAATATTTAAATATATTTACGTTAAGCTTAACGTAGAAATTTTTTTTTTCATGTACGAAAATAATTATATACTTACATAAGCCTTATATAGATTAATTAAGAATACACGAACATAAATAGTGTACGTAAAATTTAAAGGGTAATAAAGTAAGGTATATTACATTATCATATTACTCTGTTTAAATTTATAACACATTCAAAATGTCTATATGTTTTTGTAGAAAAAAGATTATATATATTTACTTAACTATTATTTTGATATATGTACATAAAATATTTATATACTTTTATTTCTAACAGTATTCTTAAAATGATTATCATTAACAAATTTTTGTTTGGATAATTTAGTAATACATGTATATATTTTTTTAATTTTCTCTTCATTATACTTTATCAACGGCATTATTAAATATGTAAAATATATGTTTCGTAATTAAATGTATAAATAATAATAATTTATATATTTGTACATAAAAAATATTGTTATTTACATTTAATATTAATTTTTATGTGTACATACATTTAATACAATCTATATTTTGTCATATTTCATGTACTTTGAATATTATATATAAAATAATGCATATGTATTAGTGCTTATAATTATATTTCATAAAAGTATTAAATTGTACTAATAATGGGAAATGATGGGGTATATTTTTTATATTATATTTCATAACAATTATATCATTGTTTATTATGTTTACTTATATATTAATTATGGCATATATATTTTATTTAATTTCAGGGATTCAGTAAAAGTAATTTGCCTTCCAACAAAATTATAGAGGATTTACTTGATGGAAAGGATATAAATAATTTAAAATCATTAATTAGTTCTTCTGACAATTCTTCTGATATTATTGAGAAAATAACAGAGTTTAATACATCAATTCAAGTTGGATATAATAAAATTAAAAAAGAATGTACTACAACTAACAATCAAAAATGCTGCAGGACTTTGAACTATTATTTAGATTTCGTAACTGCAAATATTTATTTATCTCAAATAATGGATAAATTTAAGCCCGATTTGATAGTTCAACTTGAAGATCCATGGAATACAAAACGTAGTAGCGAAGATTATGTATGTGATAGAGAAACAGATAATTATTCAATACTTAAAAGATGCATAGTTAAACAAATATATGATTTTAATTATGATAAGAATTATTTGAACACTTATTCAGACAAAAATAAAGATTTATCTAGAATTTATGATGAATACCTCAGTAAGGAATGGTGCGATATACTTAAGAATGCGAAGTCAACTATTAATGATAAAAAAGTAATAGTTAGAATTAATGGGATATATAAGGATATAGGATATGATGATTTACCTTTTAAATATACATTTTTAAAATCTAATAATTTTATTAATAATGAAAATGATAAATTAATTATTTCTATTGAAGAACATAGCAATGCATTGGATAATAATCATTCACAGTCAGGTAATATGACACAAGAAAATATTCGAGAACACCAAAAGAATGCTGAAAAGGAGATTCAATCAAAAAAAGTATTTTTTGTTAAAGATTTTCTCATTTATTGCTATATTATTACAGTAATTATTTTCTTAATTCTAATATTATACAAGGTTATAAAAATTTAACACACAAATATGCCAATAGTATGTCATGTATTCTAATTTTAATGCCAGCAAAAGCATAATTATGATTAAATAGATATATTTAATACATTCATTATGATTATATTAATTATTTTAGTTTAGTCCACTTGGATCATACGTTAGTAAAAAAATAATGAAAAAGAAATATATTCAAAAATATAAATGTAAAAATACAGAAGACATTTTTTCACAAAATACAGATAATAACAAATTTAATATAGCATACATTTCCTACTTTAAGCGTCAGGAAAATAATATTTGAATAAAATTATTAATTGTAAAAAATAAAATAATATAAATACATTTCTTAATGTATATTTATGCTAAAATGAATATATCAGAGTACTTAGAGTGTTGAGGGATTAGGCTTAGTGTTCAAAATATTAGATATACGTCATTAATGCTTAGTTTTTAGTTATATTTACATTATATGTTTGTCATCATTAATAGATGTTATATTTGTTATTTATATTTATTTATGTATGTATCATATTTTACGTTATATATAGAGCTATATATTTTTTAATTAAGAATTTCATAATTTATTTCATTATTATATTGATAAATATTATTATTGTATTCTTTAGTAAATCTGCATTTTCTTTTCTTTTTTTTTTTATATTAGAATTTTTGAAATTACTAATAATGATGAGTTATGTATTTTTTAATATTGAGGAATTCATATAAATTTAATGTATCATGATAATGTATACCTATAAATTTAATAAAAATATATATCATTGCATTATATATAAATATTTGTAATAAGAATGTTATGTTAGAATTGTGCTTCTATAAATTATATTATATATTTTTTGTGATGGAATAGTACTTATATGTTGTGACATTAAAAATTTTATGAAGTATTTAAAATATTTTTTAAATGTCAGAAATAACATATTCTAAATATTAACATGAAAAAATAAGGTAATAATTAAAAATTCATTTTTTTTTTTTTGTTAGTACATACTATATAAAATAGCATATCGTATAAATATATTCTCATTTATTCGAACCTATGAAATATGTGTTTTTTATATATACTAAGCAATATACAAACACATTTCTATTTATACTATGAAATATAACAGTGTTTTACATATTTTGTTCTTATTTATGTAATTAATTTTTTGGAATTTATTTAAGAATTCACAATAATCAGGTTAATAATTAATTGAAAATCTGAGTTCCCTTAAAATGAATAAATTCTGTGTAATATTAAAA